GTTTCTTACTTACTGATATTTTCAGCTGGTGTGCGAATAGAAGAATCTGAGTAGGAAGATGAAGGGCGACCCGAAAAACATACCCTGGTTCAAGACCTTCTTTTCTTTCTTGGCTTCGCCGGTAGGAGCGGATAGTAGGAAGCATCACACCAACCGAACTGCGCCTGAAGCGGCCATCGTTGCTGCCTCTAAGCATTTCTCAGCCCCACATAAGGCACGGTTCGGGTGAATTGCGGTTTTGAATTCACTTCAAACTTTCAAGTCAACATCAAGGAGGAGGAGGAGGAGGAGGCTGAGAAAGTTGGCTTGGAATGGTGACATTTTCTTCTTCGGTCGCTGAACGAAGGATCGGACGTCATGACGTGTACTCTGATGAACCCAAAAGGAACAAGGAAGAAGATTACAACAAAAGAAAAAAAAGGGGAAGAAAAAGCAAAAGATGAATTATACATAGCCGAATGTCCAGGTGGCTCTGGGCAGTGATGGACAAGCGCTAGACGGCAGTGATGTACGAGTGCATCGAAGACGATGAACAGTAACAGCGATTACAGTACTCCGATTTTTTTTTTCTCTTTTTTAGGTTTAATTTTTATTTTATTTTATTTCCCTGACTGGGCGCTCACGTGGCGCCACATCAGACGTCACGTCAGAGACACGTCAGATTTTAACGTTGATTTTTAACGGAATCCTAACCGAGGGTAAATGTGTCACAATGAGCATAGTTTGGGGTTTTTTGTGTCACAAAAAAAATTTTAGGGCAAATGTGTCACAATGGACATAATTTGGGGGTTTTTTTGTGGTATTTTCCCTTTTTTTATTATTTTCAACTTTAAACTATTAGTCGGCTAAATTCACCCAAAACTATAACAAAAGTAAAATTAAATACTAGACAATCCTGAATAGGAGGTAAATGTGTGAAATCTTCATATAAATAACTCTATGTTTTTTTCTTTCAGAAAATGAGATAAAATTTCGTTTATTAAGACTTGGAATTAGCTTGGTCGGGGATGATCTCAAGGTGGAATCAATAATTCTAATGCCAAAATCTAGACATTGGCCCATTTAACACGACATAGGCCTTGCCGGCACAACCCATTGGGGATAGGCCAAGGGCCCAAGTTCATCGACACGGCCCAAGGAACGACCCAATTGGCGGAGAACCCGCAATAAATTTCTTATATAAGGTCCAACATTCTTGTAAGTATCATGTTGTACTACCATTTAAAAACACATCGAATTACGAATTCAAAAGGGGGAATAGGGTATGTTTCATATTGATTTTTCCTATTGGACCAGCACGTGTTCGAGCATGAGCAAGCGAGGGAGACAAGTAGAGTTAAGCATAGTTCCAGAGTAGAACCGGATTGCTTTCCAGGTTCTGGTGAGACCATGCCCAGTTCCCGGTTCCACAATTGTAGGAACCTTCAGTTTCTGATTTTCAGGGAAACCGGACCAGAAATCGAAAACCTATCCGAGAACCAAATCGAGAACCTACCAAACCATAAAATAGAAATTGACTTAGGCTTTCTCATTCTAAAAAAGCCCCTAATCTTCCTCTCTAGAGCGATTCCCTCCTTGGCTTTCTTCCTCTCCTCAAACCTCAAAATTGAAAGCAAGCTGAATGGTCATTGGCTAAGTAAACTCTTCATTATAGGGACATTTGACTGAATTGAAGGTTCGTATGAAAGGCTCTGACCTAGTAAATCAGTTATGGACAACAAGATGGTAACTGTAGCTACACCCAAATATTCCGTCACCAGATAAAGCAGTTTTATCCCTTCTCTTTGGCCTCTCAAATACTAAAATATGCACTTCTTGATCTCTGTTTGCCCCTCCAAATGGGCTCCCAAAGAGCTTTAATTGGATCTCCAAAATCACCTCATAGACCGTCTAAAGCTGTTGGGTTGGTAAGGCACATGCATGATGTACCAAAACAAATTTGGGGGGAAGATTTTGTCCTCTTGCTAGCATCTTCTCATTACCAGCTAAACTTCCCATTATTATCCACTTTATCATACCCGAGAATTCCACGTGGCAAGGGGCAACCGCCGAGAAGACCCTCGCTAAGTTTTATTTTAAGGCTAATATCATTAAAAACCCCAAACTGGTATACTTGTGATAAATTTTCCAAACTAATTTTTTATCCATCGAAAATCCCAAACTGGTACACTTGTGACAATTTTACCCAAAAGTAATTTTTCGACCATAAGAAACCAAAAACCCCAAATCGGTACACTTGTGACAAATTTACCCTATGTTAAATTAGATTAATACCACGAAAAATCACAAACTGGTACACTCATGACAAACGGAGGGTAAAACTCAAAACTGGTACATCTGTCAATTATCGCGTGTCATTTAACAAAGCAATTTGACAATAAAATTTAACGGAAACTAATAGAGGGTAAAATTGCCACAGGTATATCAGTTTAGGGTTTTTAGTGGTCAAAAAATTAGTTTGGGGTACATTTATCACAAATTTGGGGTTGTTCGTAATATTAATCCTTTATTTTAACAAAGGACATAATTAGCATTATTGATGTCACAGCTCTTTTTCCAAAAACAAAGATAGAGAAGATTCCACTCTCCCATTCTACAAAAAATTTAGATTTTATGTTACATGTTTTAAACCTTTTTTTTTTGGTTTTTTTTTTATTTTATGTGTTCATATTTTAAGGATTGTTGCTATTCACAAATGCGAAACCTTCATTTTTGTTGTTGCGTTCACTTTCATTTTGCTTGACTAAAAATGAAAAACAAAAAAAAGGAATTGGCCCTAGGTAGACCTTGGAACTTGTGACAATGTTGATTCCAGATTTTAGAATATGCAAGGTAGATTCGAGATTCCAAAAAATGACGAATCTATTATGACAGGTAAATTTCAAGTTTTAGGTGAAATCTAGACGAAATATGCCTAGAACTTGGAACACTCATCCCTAAAGACAAGCATGGGCATAGCACAAGCGCTTGCACTGTCGTGCTTGACTTTCTTATATTGAGTGGGACTGAGTTGGCCCATTATTCCATGTCTTTATACTTTGAGTTCATGACTCCACACTATCTTTTCATGTGTGCAATGGGATTGGCTGAGTTAAATTAAATGCTTAAAACTGTTGTTCCAATTCACATGAATTAACGTATGGATACAATAGTATTCCATTTTCTTTTTAGTGGTTGAGTGGTGTTCGAGCCCGCTTTCGTGTACCTCAATTGGTCTATCTCCCGGAGGATCTTGAGAACACACTCCTCCACATCGGCCGAGTACATTCGCGATTTTAATCCTAGACCACTCTCAACAATGCTTGAATCAAGACCGTAAAGAGAGAAGCAAACTGAATTGTCATTTAAGTCGACATCTTGCCAGCAATACACGATGATATTCTGTTAGTGTTTCCATAGAGACAATTAAATGACAATATATCAAATTACTTAACTAATTAATTTTTTTCAAAATAGGCCTTGCTGACTCCGTTATTACCCAATTTACAAAGGCTTGACAATGTAGTACCTGTGCCGATGGAAGAAATTTCTAGATAGGCCCTACTCTGAGGTGTGAATTTCCTTTAAGGAAAGCATGTAACTTTCAATGAGTTGGTGGATCTAAGCCGTTGTTAGATTCAAAGCATTCTATGACGCCTTGCGGGGTCATGAATACTGATGAATTACCCAAATTCCTTCGCTTAACATCTTATGTGCTTGCCAAGCATTTTCGCCGTCAGCATCATCTTACGCTTGACTCACATTATGCTGGTGCTCGCTTTAGAAAGTGGGACTATGACCTATACACAGTTTGAGCATATGCAATCCTCATATTGTTTACTTCGCACCACACTTATGCCTAGGTCAAATGGACATTCATTCATGCCGTTTTACTGGATCGGGTTCATCACAATCGTTGATCTTATGAACATTCGTCAATCATGTAGGCCATGTGAGATCTACAATATTAACGGTTGTGATGGACCCGGTCTTTTTTCAGTTCGGGTCTAAACAAGAATACTTCGCACGCACGACTTACAAGACGTTTCGAAACAGTGGCTAGCCTCCCAAATTTAGCCGAAGAAACGGTTTGTGTGGTGCGAAAGCTACGTTGAAAAGGGGCACCCGCTTGAAGTCGAAATTTGAGGATCGCTAGCCCTCAGCATACGACCAAAGTCATTGGAAAGCGGCTTCTTGGATCACCCAACAAAGGGCACGGAAAAACAAAGTCCTCGGATCACCCAGAAATAAAGCTTCATTGGATCACTCATTCCTCTCTCTATACTTAAGTGCTCCACCAACGACCCCATTGTCTCATTTTTCAATATCATATCTTCTGGACAGACTCGTTGGGTCCTTGGTGATTGCACTGAGATTATTAAATTCCTCTGCCACTTTGAGTGGATATTGGGCAATCATTTTGGGATGATGCAATAGGGCACGGTCTGTTCTCTCCACTTCGTGCACCAGTCAGACGTGAGTTCTACCAAATCGCGCGCACAATGTCTATTATTGTTATATAGAATGATGAAGACATCTGGTTTTTGGTCAAACTGGCAATACTTAATGGAGATGAACCCCAACCATGTTGACCACGGCTTATCCCAAGTCACACGGCTTTGGGGGAGAATTTATGGACAAACCCAGCTGGAAGAACTGAGTGCGGCTGAGGACGAATCAGAAATTCTTGAAATGTTCATGCATTTGTTGAATTCTTGAGTTACTCTTTCTCTACTTCCATAATGTCGTACCGGGTCTTGATTGGTTTGGCAATGCTGCACCTTCGAAGTCTTGATTTGTTTGGCGATGCTGCACCTTCGAAAACATTTTTTGGGGTTTCGAATCGATGCAGAAACGATTCTTTTGTGCAACATGATATTAGGATTATGGAATACAGTTTTGTTTGCTTCACGAGGCCGCAGATTATGGCAACAGGGAACATACTTGCGAACTAGAAAATACTTGTGTAACAAAAGATAAACTGATGAGAGATAGAGAGAGAGAGTGAGTCTGGTCGACAGTTCTAAGAAGGCAACTCTTTGCAACATGTATAACTGACATTACATCCATGGAGGGGGTGGAGTATTACAACTGTTGGACATCTTCATCACCCTCTAATTATCTTTGCAGCTCGAGTATGTAATAACCAATCAATGGCAAGTTTTCAATGATACATGAATCTGATTATTTGGAAAAATAAGGAATTACCGTTGGCCAACATGTCTCGTTCATTTACAGTAACCGCCGGTGACCGGAACTTCGAAAATCTTGACCCCAATGGGTTTCTGAGTTCCGACTATGACGTGCACACCGATGCCATTATTGTGAAGGGCACGTCCCACAGCATTTGCATCACCACTTCTGATGTTCAGTGGTTGTGGTCAGATCATGTACTTATCAGTGGCTCATCTAACAGTTGCAAGCACTCCTGAGGATTGGCATAGAAGTAATCTTCTTCCTTCGGTCTATCCGGAATCATGACTCGTGACTTTGGGCTGCCCATCCGAAGTGAATGAGCTTCCTTAACGAGAGAAGAGAACTCGTCCCAACCGAACGATCCATTCATGTACCGATCGACCAAACTGACCAGAAGCTTTCTGTCTAGCAAAATAGTCTTTTTGAAGCCCAAGAATCTGAAACAGAGTTTTCAAATGAGGCAGAGACTCAAACTTCGTGCACCTACCATAATACTAAAGCAGGCTACTGAAGTACCATAAACAGACTAGAGACTACTCCGCATTAATTTACCTTCGATGGCCTTCAACCACTTTCGCCATATTCCCATCGTACGTTGGAATAAATATATCACTTTCCAACGAGACTAAATAATCTAGTGCCGCCATTTGCGACGAGTGATTCTGGAAAAACTTCAAATCTGCTGGTTTCAGCAAAGTCTCTTTCCTCACCTGGGCCAATCAGCAGAGTTAACAAACAGTCACAGACGTAATAAGCAGTGAAAGAAGATTAAGAAATCTGTTTACTCCAACTGACCAAGTTACGAAAAGATGACGATAGAGTTTCCATCCTTCTCTCTCCACCATATATCTCTCCAGCAGCAATGTATATTTGGACGTTTCGATCAATACCCAATGCATCTAGAACAAGAGCAGTTTCTTCTGGCGTTAAAGGGCAGAAGCCTTCTCTTCTTTTCATCTCCGAGTCTATCACTTTCTCCTTCCACCACGGGTAGGCATATCTATAAAGTACGACAATGTCAGAGGATTTCTAGAGTAATAATAACAAGTTAGCATCGGGGATAGACTATGGCCAACTGGAAGATGTGAAGAAGGATTACCTGAGTCGTGTCAACTCCTCTACCTCCTCACTGTTGCAACCATGAGAGCAGCCGGAGAAAGCGAGCATGTCCATTTCGTATCTCAGATGCAGAACCAAGAAGGGGCCCTTTTCCCTCAGAATCCGGACGGCTTTTCTACCTAATTCCTCTATCTGGGGAGTAAATCTCAGAGAATTAAAGTTTACTCGACACCGCAGCTTCTGAATTTCCAGAGGCACCCCATTGTTGGCGAGCCGAGTGTCCGTTCGAGTCAAATGTAAAACTTTGTACTTTCTTGCCAGAGGAAGTACCTGTTGTAAATAGGTCAAAATTTGAGATTCATTCCCAGATAGGACTGATCTAAGTAGTTGCTTCATTTGTATGGACTTACTTGATCAAGATAGTAAGAAAGGTTAGACCAACTGATGGGTGGTAATGAGTAGAACATTCCTAGTTCCACTCTTTTCTTGAGCCTCGGGGGTAAGTCCTTCAGTATACGGACCTCATCTCTCAAAGAAGAGATGAAATGATCAACGTCAAATATGTCTTGGAACTCACTGCCTCGTCAAAATTTAGCAAAACTTTAATCTTATATTATTTGGATGCATCATCCATACATTGACAAATCCATTAATAGATATGGAACTTACCTCGGGTCAGCCCAGAAGGAGGTTTTGTCCAGTTCTGGAACAATTAGAGTGACATTCAAGTATCTGGCGATAGCAACCATGTCACATATCTGTCAAGCAAATTCAAAAGTAAGAGAGATGGAAATTCACATGAGGAATAGCAGATGAGGATTAAACGATAACCGAAAGTCGACATGGTTCTTTTATGCAACTAAGTTGAGAAGACTCGAAACAACTCACAGCAGCTCGCATTTGATTGAGCCCTCCATTGCATGAAACCATAAGATAACCGTTGTTCTTGTAAACCCCTGAAAAGAAATCATGGGGTTAAGCTAAACTAGGAATAGCAACCTTGGAAGCATCAACCTGATTGAGACATGGCTCTGAGAAGCATACAAATTATCAAGAAAATTAATAACCTAGAAAATAACTAAATACAAATGTCTGGAGGGTTTCAAAAAGCTCATCTTGTAAACAAATTCCTCGAATTCTACATCCCCCACAAACAAATTAATCCAGATGAAGGCTCAAGCACACGCATAAAGAAGCCTTCAGTTGTTCTATGACTAAATTTTCAATATTCTGTCTAATCTTTTTTTTTCACTGAAAAGGTGTTCACAAGCCAACTTACTCTTTGGGGGAAGCCGGACTTTGGTTGGTATAGAAGATGATTGAACTGCCAAAGAATGATCTGCAGGAATAAAACAAGAAGGCCAGTCCTTCAACAATCTCGGACCCCAAGTCCCCCCAATCGCCATCAACTGAACGACGCTAATCCAAATCAATGCGGTCGTGGTCACTCGCAGAATCCAGAGCTTCGTTCCATACTTTGAAACTAACGACCTCCTGAATTTCTGGACCTTTCCCTCTTTCAAGAATCCCATCCCCAATTCACACTCGTCTCTATGATCACAATCCTCCAAACGCTTCTCTAATCTGCACATCTTAGTACCAAGTAATTGTCCCTATCCTCATAAATTCACCATGACCATGACCCAATCAGTGCCACTTGATTAAACAGTCAGAGTGTATCCAAATGGTAACCCAAAAATTCAGGAATCTAATCTAATCTAACCTGATCTGAGCTTTCGCAATATTCTAAGAGCCACCATTTATCTCCACGAGGCGACCTCATTGTCAATAACTCAACCAGCAGAGTACAGACATCTTGAAACTCTAAAACCTCCTCGATGTAGGTAAACTTACTTAGCAGTTACACAAAGACCAATGCACATCTCCATGTACCTCATACCTCAACTCCCAAACAAAAACCAAAAGACGTGATCTTTGCAACTTCAGCATTACAATCTCCAGAATTCAACAAAACCCAGAAAGCACGGGAGCATCAATTTGTAGTTAAATCAAAGAAGAGCGTCACTCCCTCTCTAAACCACTGCCGATCCACAAGACATTTACTGAAGCAAGGAAAAAGCCTGCAAAAAGCTAAAATCAACTTCCACCCACGCTCTGCAGAAAAAAAAACAAAGTCCTCTTTGGCTTTTTAACAAATTCTTTTCCACCATAAGTTCCAAAGCAAGAATGCCTTCACATGAACAGATAAACCACAAAGCTCTGTTCTTTTTCAGCTTTCATGAGAACCCACGTTCGGAAAATGAGCAAGAACTGATTTCCCGGTGACATTTTGCCGAGCAGATCCCGGCCAATGCACCCCCCAAGAAGAGAGAGACAGAGACAGAGACAGAGAGCGGTGGCATTAAATAGCACCGCGGAGAACAGAAGGAAAAGCCTATGATTAAGGCGCAAGTGTTGATGCGATATCAAGAACAAAAAAATTCGAAACAATATTTACATAAAGAGGCGTGAAAGTAGGGAAGAAAGCCGAGCCGTACAGGATCACACCGTTTGTTGGTATTCTCTTTTTGTCCCTTATCATTACGATCAACCCACATGAACCCCCCCGTGACCCTGTGACGCATCCTAAGCAAAGAGGGTCAAACCCTTTTGATGACAGACAGACAGCATCGGTCTTGCCTGATCTTGATTCCAAAATGGGGTCGTGTCAAATCCTGCAGTTTTTGCCAAATTAGCTGACTTTTGGATTCGGGAAGTGTCGAACGGGGCGAACCATGGACCTTGTTTAATGGTTTGCTTCGTAAGAGTCATCGCCGTTGTTATCTTCAAGGGTGCAAATCTTTTGGCTTATGCATTTGGCAACTTGTGATCTTTCGCCGAATGGGGGCTTTTAATTCCTTTTTCTTGATAAGGGAACGATGGGTAGATCGCCTATCGTTATCCAAATCGACACTTATTCGTCCCTCAAATGGGTAGCCTTGCCCTCACCGAGCACACATTACCTCGACAAGAGTTGCCTAACCCTCGCCAGTCAAAAGGCCAAGGACTCGAACCATCATGGCGACATCCCCGTCGGCGTCCACGAGGAATTGAGAGCTGTTGAACCTCCGCTCTCTCCATGTACATTTTGGGACAGCTGAATCCCCGTCGGTTTAATGAATACATTTTTCTTTCGACCAAAAAAAAAAAAATCCTCGTCAGTGACCGGCTACTGCACGTCTCTCTCTGTTTTTCTTTTTCTTTTTTGGGAAAATTTTGTTGGTTGTCAATTTGTTGGTGGGTGCCGCTTATACGACGCCCTATCAGCACCACATGTCCATTTCACAGCATGGACGCAGTAAGACAATTAGGGCTATTGCGGGAGGACTTAACATGACAAATCGAAGGAAAAAAATATAGAGGATATGAGTATGCAATAGAAAAATTTAGAGGGTCGAGCGGGAAAGACGATGAACAAACATTGTAAAGCTTCATCTAGCAATTGTTACTTGTTTATATCTACGTAGCAATAGAAGTAGACTCAATAATACCAACAAAAATTTAGATTACAATGATCGAATGATAGAGGTTATCCTTTCTAGTTATTTGCAATTTTTTCTTTGAACATTCTATATATCGTCGGGTTTAATTAAGATGCTAATCATCCTGTTATGGACTTTTCTTCTCCGATTCCAAATGCTTTTAACGAATCTTTTTTTTTTTTTCCATATTGGAATATCATAAAACTAGACTTCTCATTGATTTTTGGGAATATCTTTTGTTAAACTTATATATATTACTATTTTTTTTTATCGTTCATAAAAAAGCGATGTATTGTAAACGTATATGTTTATCATTGAAATTGCATGCTGGTATGGAATTATGTGAAATCATACGTTATCTTGTAATTGCACACTGACCTCAAACGTTGTATGAAATTCGACGCGGATTGAGATTGCATGTTATAATTGCGTGTCAATCTTGGATTGTACATCGATTGGGATTGAACAATGAAATTGAAATTGAATGCTATCTTGATGGGATTGGATATGTCCCCCCCCTTAGTTACTGCCATGTTGTTTGCATTCCATGAGGTGATTGATTGAATTGGCATTGGATTCATGCACGTTTGAATGAATGCTGCTCTTGTTGGGATTGGATTCGTCCCTCTTGGTTGTTTCGCGGTAGGACGATGTTTGCATACGCGAATTGTACTGATTGATTTGGCATTGGATTCATGCCTGTCCGATTGAACGTTGTTATGATATTATTAGATTCGTTCCTGTTAGTTGCTTTCCGTGCTTGAACGTAGTTCTTGCACGCGTAGACGAGGTGTGTTGGCCTTTGGTTGGCATTGGATTCATGTCTATTTGAGCTTGTAATTCGTCATGGATTGGATCTATCTCTTTGTTTAACTTTCTTTGAACAAGTTGCATATTTTTGAATCACATAATATTCCAAGTTCCTAATCGACCTAAGAGAAATGATTGGTGGCCACTCCTGAAACGATCTTAAGATTTTGAATCACATTAGCACGCCCGGACCTAGGGAGACTCTCTATGCAATAGAAAAAATGGGACGGATTTTCAATTTTTTTTTTCTTTCGACTTTGATCCTCGATTTCGAAAGTAAAAGCTTCTGGAGATTCGATTCGCAGGCAGCAAGGCATTGCAAAGCCGATACTCAAAAATCGACCGCGAACGAGCTAGCTTTGCAAGCTGCATTCAGGTTTCACATCGCCACGCCATCATGTCCAGCACAATTCTGCGCATATCGTCACGTCATCGTGGATGTTCGCTCGTGATTTCATCGCGTTATTTTACATGTTGTCAATTGTCAAGGTGATCGCGCATGTTTGGAGGGACGACGCATTTTCATACGACAGTGGCACGCGACGAAACGGGCTAATAAAAAATCGGCGATTGCCAATTGAAGCGCCGGACAAGTATATGGCGAGGACAACATAATCGGTCGGTCACATTGCGCGGGTTCCGTGACCGACACAATAGAAGCTGATTCCAATTCAGAGTCGACGTACCTTCGAACAAAGATCGATGTTGTGTTTTTGGGCCAAAAGACTGCATGTGATGCAGTCTGTTGTTGTCGAAGGATGTACAGACCGGGATGATCACGTGCTGCAGTAAGCAAGGGGACCAAAAAAAAAGGATCACGGGAATTTGCCAGCGTCGCGAGTCCTGGAGGACTCTTCTTGGAAGTCCCGACATTTTGTCGCACCGGTCTTTCTCCTCGTTGGTTTTATCAGATTTGTTTACAGAATCACGTAAGGTAAAAAATGGTAAAAGACTTCTTTGTCTCTGCATTGATGGACTCTCCTTCTGTAATGGAAGTGAAGGACGATTTTTTTTTTTCTATCGATTGCAGCTGCGCAGCAAAATCAAGCGACGGGAAATTAATGAATGGACTGATTGATGAATTGTCCAATTCATTCTCTATGAAATAATTGATGGCAAAAGAAGGAAAGTGGAGCTAGAGAGAGTAGTTGTTGGGTAAATTCGAAGACGACCTCGTCTTATAATAATAATAATAATAATAATAATAATAATATATAATGTCTATTATATCATTCGCAAGATCTAGGGATGAGCATGGGGCCGAGGATCACATTACCTATCTCTGCCTCGCGAAGGGATGAACTGCCTCGCCATTGGCCCGCACCCCATGTCGGGCGGGGCCTAGGAGGCAGCAAAAGGTAGAACTTCTCTTTTCGGCCGCTAGACTAAAGAGAGAAACCCAAAATGTGAAGACGACGATGGAGTGTTTATTTGAGTATTGTCCGTTGCTGCGACAACAAAGAAACTCGAAAATGAGAGAGAGAGAGAGAGAGAGATAGACAGAGAGCGGAGACCACAGCGAGATGCGACATCGACAAAGCGTGCAAAGGAAGTGAAGACGGCCTCGACGATGGCGATTTGATGAGATCAATGACGAAGCTTGAAGAGGATGGTGGCGGAGAGGAACGCTCGATAAAAAAAAGTGATATTGGACAATTCTTAGGTTTTACATATTCTTCTATGGTTTTTTTAAAGAAATATCAATAGAAATAATAAAGAGGGAAAGGAGAAGGACACGATACTGGGCTCTAAATATCATGTATAAGATAGGCAGGCTTCGAGTACATGTACATATTACTAAATTGACAAATTATTAAAAGGCTTATGACTAAATTTGATAAATCGAAAGGTTTATGACTGAATTGGCATAAATACAATAAATTTATGATTTTTTTTATAACATCCAATTTTAAAAGTAGTTTCGTAGTGTGGGGCAAGGTCATGCCTCGCCTCGCGTGAATCCCTGATCCGCTGATGGCCCGTTTCCCCTTTACTTGTATCCAATTTACCCCGAACAGGACGGGGCACTGGACTCCGGGCCCATCACCAACAAAATCTTCGATTACATGGCCACGTGTCGAGGTGCGCTCGCCTAAAAAAAAAAATCCTATTTTTATGTTAAAGTAAGGGTATGCTCCCCCGCAACCATTTGCTGTCCGTGCAATTTTCCCTAAGATTTAACCATGCCTAGATCACTTCAAAGGTAATCTTCCCAAATAAACAAGTGATGTAGGCTTAAAACGTACAGACTGTATGGAGTCAGCTCAGAATCGAAGGGCGAACCTCAGCTATGTTCCTAAGTTTATCTGCCATTGGATTTATTTTATTGGACGGAGTCGTATAATTCCCAACATTCGAGGACAGAAAGTCGGAAGACCGAACGAAGTTGTTTATTTAGGACGCGAATGATAAAATTTCTCTTCCTCTATTTCTATTCTCCGGATGAGTTTCTGAGCAAAAAGTAGCGTTCGATAACGGCACAAAATTCCTATTCTTGGAATAGAAATTTGTTTGATAGGTTATTCTTAAATTTTTGTTTTGCGGTAGCCAGTTGATGGCGACGGGCAAAGCTGGACAGCCGGCGAGCAGTGGCAACGAGCGGCTGCCGGGGGCAGTGGCGGGCAATGAGGACGAGCAATAAAACAGAGTTGTTATTTCTGTTTCTATTTCAGAAATAGAAAAATAGAACATTTTAACTTCTCATTTCTGTTCCAAACCTATTTCTAGGCTAAAAATTTGTCCCGGAAATAGAATAATAAAATTATTTTACCAAACGGATTTCTGTTCCAAACCTATTCCCGGAAACCAAAAAAAAAAATAGAAAAACAGGAAAACATAATGGCTATCATTCGTGCCCTTAGAGTCCTTTGTGCGGAAAATAAATAATTTGAAAAATATTTCCTTAAAAATATGGTTAGAAAATATTTTTATCGTCCGCGAAAAAATTTAGACATAAATTGTTATCGATAACGAGAACATTTTTTTGACTAATTATTTCAAGCGACACAAGCGATCATTTCTAGCAAAATCTTCTTCAAATCACTCATTTTTCATGAAACAAACCGAGCCTTAATTAATCATCCGAAGGTCCTCCGCGATAAATTCCGAGGCGTGTCTGGTGTGCAGGTCCGAAGTACAAGAAGATTAGCCTCGGTGGGGGTAAAGACACTTAGATACAACAGCAATACGTACGGTTCATGAATCGAATATTGGAAGAGCTCGGATCAACTAGCCGACTAAGCAATATTGTAAAGGATACGCGACAGCGTTTTTTAAATTTCGCAAGTTATCTTTCATATTCGCATTACCTTTATTCTTTTATTCGTACTCCTTGTTTACTTTATCCTTAGTTGTTACTTTCCGGACCGCCACGAAACCCAACTCACACAAAAAAGCCGAAGAGCCAACTTCAGTGAAAGGTATTTTGGAAATCATTTTCGGCGAAACAAAAAGTTTTTCAAACTAAAAAAAGTTAATGTGCGCGAGTTGCAAGATTTTAATTAAATAAAAAATAAGGTCAAATGCAGGTGCACCTTCGATAACTTAATTGTAGATTCACTAAATTTTACATCGATCTAAGTTTAGGCGGAAATGTTTCATCGGCTTCTTTAGCTTACAAAAAGTACCATCAACTTATTATAATTTGGATCAATTACATATCTAGTCCTCCAAGTTTTAGTGTAACTACAATTTCATCATCTGATGACTTTTTTATTTTGTGCAATCAAGTCCTCTAATTTTCTGAATTTGTTCAATTTGGTCTTCTAAGTTTTACTTTGGCCAATCAAATCCTCTTTAACTCCCTTGATTTGGGTAATCAAGTGTCTCGTTTACCCACGGCAATTATAAATGCCAAATCACAATTTCTTTTTTTCTCATTTTTCCCGTTTTTTTTTTTTGCTCATTTAGCGACAAACTAGCAAGACGCGTCATTTTCTATCACACAAGCAATGCCACGTCACTAATTAATCCGACTGTTTAGTTACAGTACCCGACCAAGTGATTCGATTACAAACGTTAAGAAAGCTACAGGATTCAATTGCACTAAATAAAACTTAAAGGGATCAAATCGCATAATGCAGAAAGTTACAAGAGTTGATTGAACAAATTATAAAAGTTAGAGCGCCATATCGCATAACTGCTGTAACTTTAAGGATATATCATCTGTACTTTAACCCTTAAATTTTGATTCGATCAGATTTAACCGGGGCGGGACCCGACCCGACCCGACCCGGCCCGGCCCATAATTCTGATGGGCCTCATAGGCCATAGCCCACCGAGTTCGTGTCCTCCTAGGTTTTGTATGTTCTGCTCAATCTCTCTCCGTCTCTCCCTGCGTCTCTCCGTCTCTGTCTCTCTCGTCCCTCTGGCGTGTGTCGAGTTGTGGTGAGCCATGAGGAAGCTCAAGTTCCACGAGAAGAAGCTGCTGAAGAAGGTCAACTTCCTGGAATGGAAGAGGGAAGGCGGCCACAGGGAAGCTCAGGTCATGCGCCGCTATCACGTCACCGGTCGAGACGATTACAAGAAGTATAACCCTCTCATCTACCCACCCTTTATCTCTGCATGCCCATTATGTTGTGCTTGCGCCGCATTTCGTTCCGATTTCGCCGCGAAAATGTTGGGTCTCATTCGAATTTGGCGATGGTTTTGTTGTGGTGGTGGGGGGGAAAAAGGTACTCGAGCTTGTGCAGGATGGTGCAGAAGCTGGTCAACATACTGAAGCAGATGGACCCGAGAGACCCTTTTCGTGTCGAGATGACGGATTCGCTTCTCGAGAAGTTGTGAGTTCTTGTTCCTCCTTTTTTATGTTCGCCTTATGTTTGTCACTATGGGCTAAACTGAAGTGAAAGTTCTGTTTATGGGGAGTTTGATTGAAACTTCTTTTGGGAAGGGAATTGTTTGAATTGGAGATGGGGAAACTACCTCAATTAGAACACTGGTTTTTGGATTTCTTGTTTTAATGGTGATCAGAGTGTTGATTGTGTGATTGTTTTACATGAGGGTTTGTTGGCAGGTTTACTTTTGAACAAAGCTATTTGCTTTAGGGGATGACTTATGGGAAGGGTTAGGATGGACAAGAAATGGCGTAGTTTTGGTTTTGCTACTTTGTTTGATCTTAATCTTTCGCATGATGTGCTACAAGAACAACTTCATGCGTAAACTGGAGTTTTCCCTGGAAAGATTGACGTCGAGTTAGATGTGGCTATAGCTGTTACTTGGCGAGGCCTCGTCTACGTAGCAATTAAACATCTTCATTCTTCCGCATTTGCTGATTTCCTGCTTTGATTTTCCCAAGCTACCTGTGTCCAAGCTAGGACTCTCCGCCCACCCAAATATCCTTTGAAATTCTTGTGAATGCCAGAGGATATGAAATATCAAGTACTTGTCAAAACCACATGTAGATAAAGCAGTTGATGATTGATTGGATGGAGTGGAGTGGAGGTGATTATCTGGACACATGTGGTAGCATCTATAAACCGTTGCTTATAGTTGAACTATGGTCATGATCTGGGACTGCTGGATCTAGTCTTCTTGTATAATATGAATCATGAACAAATTAAATATTTTCAAGACCATGAAGGGAGGGCCAACCAAATTCCTAATTTTAGTTAGAAGTAATAGCAGTCAATCAAATTCCTTTAGGACTGTTACTTGGTTTACAACTATATCAGACTAATCCTGTGTTTAGATGTATATTTTGACCAGACTTGATTACCACAAGCTTCTCCTAGGTTCGTGTTTAGACATTAGTGTTTGCCAATCTGCAAGTCTTTAATCTGAGTCCTTATCTCCTCTGTTTCCAATTAAGGACATTCAGGCATATCATATCCATCAAGTGGTTCAGGTAGCTTGAGAATGTGTGCTGGGTGTTTGTCTGCACACTTTGTGCTTCAGAAGGTCTTTTTGTAATCAGTAACCTTAAAACAATGGTTAGAAGTAACTCATCAGCTGCTCAGTTTCTTAGATCATTACAATGCTAAATGAAGTGCAGCTTTGTCCATAATTGCCCGTCTGGTTTTCTTTGTTTAACAACTTCCCTTCCATCCTGAAACAGCTTTTATGAGCTCTAAGATTGTTCACCACGAGCCATTTAAATGTGTATATGCTCGGTTTTTTCCTCTGATCAGAGCAGTTGATGCAATACTGGAAGATTTTTGAATTTGCTGAAACTATTGCTGTTGTACAACAGGTACAACATGGGAGTAATACCGACGCGAAAAAGCTTGGCATTGTGTGATCACTTATCAGTTTCATCCTTTTGTAGGTGAGTGCATTTTTGCAATGTTATGTGAGTCATACCAACTGATTATCAATGGTATGGAAAATGTTGATACAATCCAACCCTTCCATCCCACATTCTTTCTGTGCGGACACAAAGTTTTGCTCCTTTTGGTAATTTATCAAGCACTCACCAGGTTTGCGCGTCTGTTTTGCTCTCAGACGGAGGCTTTCGACAGTGCTCGTGCGTTTGAAATTTGCAGAGCACCTGAAGGAAGCAGTTACATATATCGAGCAAGGTCACATCCGAGTTGGTCCTGATACGGTTACAGATCCAGCTTTCCTCGTGACGAGGAATATGGAAGATTTCGTGACGTGGGTAGATACGTCGAAGATAAAGAGAAAGGTCCTCCAGTACAACGAGAAGTTAGACGATTACGATGCAATGAACTGCTAAGCTGTGTGCTGGAGGCACTGTGTTTGCATACAGTTTAGCCAGCTCACACCGACGTTCATACCACATTCATAGGTTCATATTCAAAATTCGGATGGCTTGCTTTGCACTGTTTTGATGTAATGGGAGTTGGGAAACAAAATGAAAAAGGTGGTAGTCATCAGAAGCTCCAGCTAATTTTTGTTACTCATTTCGCGATGGCCAAGTTCACAATAGGCAAATGAGTTTCTGCTGCATTGAAATTTACATGTTTGTGAGTGGATTCATGGATTGAACGCCTTTGCTGGAAACGCATGCTTGAAACAACTTATGCAAAATACAAGGAAGCCTACTGGTGTTTTGCATTTTTTCGCCTGAGGGACTTTTCAAGTCTTGGCTGTTTTAGAGGAAATTTCTAAGGCTGTTACGCCTAGCCGAAGCTAGAAGTAGTGTTTTCCTCTTTCGAGACCTCTTTCCCTGGTAACTTGTCGATCAAATATGAACACTTTTATCAAATAGTTAACTTTCTTTGATGGTTTGAAAATTACGAATTTTTCTACTAATTTTTATTTGTATAGCTTACCAATGTAACGAATTTATCAACTCTTATATATAATTACTAACCTAAATTCGAAAGGCTTCCGACATTATAGTAAGTTATCAACAAAATTTGAGGAATTTACGAAGGACAAGTTTAATAGTAAGTTATCTAGCTTATTAAAAAAATTGCCATGGAAAATAGGATCTTACCATCGAAATTAGTAACGTACCTGAAAAAAAACTTACTAACTTACCGTACCAATTGGCCTCGCTTTTATAGTGGTAAGTTACCGACCAGACTATCAAGTAAGAAATTTATGGCCGTTCAATTTAATAGTAAGTTGTCAACCTTACTTGTAAATATCCCAAGATCATACCATTGAGTTAGCGCCCGTTTGGTTCGGCTTTTCAAATGCTATTTGGGGGAATGCAAATACTTTTAGGTGAAAACCACTTGGGAAAATGTAAGTGGCGTTTGGTAAAAAAAATTTTGTGAAGCTATTTTGGCCTAAGTAATGTTTGGCAAATTTTTTTTTGCAAAGGGTTTTGGCAATTTTTATTTTTAATATTCCTGTTTTGCCCTTGTTACTGTTCATCTTCTTCACCAAAATGTGACCGGCGAGGGCGGATCTGGCCAGCGAAGGGTCGGCGAGGTCGCCCGACCCAGGCGAAGGCCACCTGGGGTCGGGCGACCGCCCAGACACCGTCACCTGGGTCGCGACCCAGGCCGACGTCGCCTGAGGTCGCGCAACCCAAGCGACGGCGCCTGGGCGGTCGCCCGACCCCAGGTGGCCTTCGCCTGGGTCGGGCGACCTCGCTGGCCCTTCGCCGGCCAGATCCGCTCTCGCCGGCCCCTCGCCGGCCCTTCGTCGACCACCCTCACGGGCCACCCTCGCGGTGAAGAAGATGAACAGTAACAGGGGCAAAACCGATATATTGAAATTTGAGTGAGGGCAATTTGCGAAGAGAAAAAAAGGCTTTAACATTTGTGGAATGCCGAAAGCCCAAAACTGGTCCGGACCAGCTTTGGGCTTTTAGCATTCCAAATGCTAGCTTTCGGCTTTTCGGACTCGGAAAGCTGAACCAAACGGTTCAGCATTTTGGGAAGGGGCTTTCGAAGCCAAAAGCCCAATCCCAAAGCTGAACCAAACGGGGCCTTGATAACTAACCACTGTAATTTGTAACTTATTAATGGATGGTAAATTTTGGGCAAGTAAGTTACCAACCAATCGAGTGAGATTTGCCAACATTTGTCGATGGTAAGTTGTCAACCTATCTATTTGGTTTGTCATTGCCAAATGAAATTAGTAAAGGCTCGCATGATAACTATTCTGTTTTTCTGTTTTTCTATTTTTCTGTTCCCAAAAACAGGTTTAGAACAGAAATCTATTTGTAACGCAATTTCATTTTTCTATTTCTGAAACAAATTTCTACTCCAGAAATAGGTTTGGAACAGAAATCAGAAGTAAATTTTTTTTACTTTTCTATTTTTGGAAAAGAAATGAGAAATAAAAACTCTTCTCATCACTTGCCCTCACTACTAGCCGGCCGCCCACCCGCCGCCCCACCGTTGCCGTCGGTCGCCTCCCACCGCCACCAGTCGTTGTCATCAGTCGCCTGCTGGTCGTCATTCGTCGCCGTCCACTGTCAGCCACCTCCCGCCGTCTGCCTTTCTTCGCCGCCCAATGTCGATCACCTCCCATTGTTGGCTGCTGCCTCCCGTCGCCGCCCAACACCAGCCACCTCCCATCGCCACCCGCCTCCCGTCGCCGCCCAATATCACCCACCTCCCGCCGCCGCCCAACATTGCCCACCTCTCACCGCCGCCCACCCGCCGGCTGCCTCCCATTGTCATCCTCCACCGCCAGACGCCATCCTCCTCCGCCGCCCAATGTTGGCCATCTCTAGCCGCCGCTCGCCTCCCGTCGCCGTCCTCTGCCGCCGTCTACCGTCGTCCTCCGCCGCCCAATACCGGCCACCTCCTGTCGCCACTTGCCTCCCGTTGCTGGTCGCCTCCCGCCATCGCCCGCCGTCCACCGCCTCTCGCTCGCCGGCCGCTCGGGAGGGAGAAATTTTGTGTCATTATCAAATTAATTTTTATTTCAGAAATAGAAATTTTGTATTGTTATCATATGCATATTTTTGCTCAGAAACTCGTTCATGGAATAGAAATAGAAAAATCAATTTATGGAACAAAATGGTTGTCATTCGCGCTCTAACTTAACAACCTGCTTATTAGCACATTACCAACAAGTTGCGAGCGAATGAACGGAGCAAACTGTAAAACTTATAGTAATCCACTATTAAATTTGAGGGCGATAAAATCATTAATCCGTTGATATTCTAAATTGATTATTGGTCTGAATTGCAAAACTTAAAAGAAGTTCGGTTTGAGAGGTAAAATCAAGATATTATTGGTAACTTAGTAATGGCCCATGGACCTTCCTTGTAAAGGTTAGGGTTCATACCACAAAAAATTCTAAACTGGTGCATATGTGACAAATTTACCCCAAACTAATTTTTTGATCACTAAAAACCTCAAATTTATACACATGTGATAAATTTACCTTAAACTAATTTTTTTACCATCAAAATCCCAAACTGTTAGATTCATGACAAATTTACAATTTAACACAACGAAAAACCACAAATTGGTACACCTGTGACAAATGTAGGGTAAAACCCCAAACTGATATACCCGTTAACTATTGCGTGCTATCCAACTCAAAAATTTGACGGTAATATTTAAAGGAAACTAACAGAGGGTAAAATTATCACGGGTGTACCGTTTTTGGGTTTTTAGTGGTCAAAAAATTAGTTTGAGGAATAAATTTGTCACAAGCGTACCAGTTTAGGGCTTTTCGTGGTTTTAATATGCAAATTAGCAATGTCACTCTTCCTATTAAGTGTTTTCTTGGATAATTTTTACTATTTTCTCTCATTATTACAACAACCTCATTGACTGCCTCTATAACCCCCCATTGTCATGTATAATAACGACAATGAAGAACTTTTAATTGTTATCGAGCACTTTTGTTTTGAAATAATACATAAGAAGAAATTTTATATGAAATTGTAAACAATTTAAAGGATAATATATACATATATATAATTGTATTTACTTATGTAAAAAACATATTCCAATCTTTTACAAAGGAAAATAGGAAAAATTTCAAATAAGAATCTAAAATACCATCATTTTTTCAAAAAAGAGTCCGAAGAGAATCTTATATCAAAGCCATGTCAATCTCAAATAATGGCCGGAAGTAATTATGATAGTCTCAAATGGGCGCGCATGATAACCATTCTGTTTTTGTCTAGAACTAATTTTCTGTTCCAGGATCAGGTTTGGAATAAAAACCCGTTTGGTAACGCAATTTCATTTTTTTATTTCTGGAATAACTTTTTGTTCCAGAACTAGTTCTAGACCAAAAATTAGAAAAAAAAAATTTCTATTTTTAGACGAGAAATGAAAATCATTTCTAAAAAAACTTGTCTTCTCTTTCAAAACACATCTCTTTCTAAATTTGGCCCCGTCTTCTCTCATTTCATATGCATTTTAAATCTCTCTCTCTCTTCCTCTCTCTCTTGCCGTCTTGCTCGCTCGCTCCGGTCGAGAGGAAGCCAGGGCTGCCGTGATCGAGGAGGTCGGCTTCGGTTCTCCTCTGTCTCTTGCTCCGCGTAAGCTCCGATCCCGCGCCGGGTTTTCGCTTTTCGATTCGATTCTAGATCCGGAAGTCGCAATCTTTTTGGGTTCGACGCGCTATTTTTGGTTTGTGTTGTTTCTTGGGTAGATTGGCTTCGGTCTGATGCGATTCTGAATGTTGTGTATGTTTCTCCGGGTGTGTGAAAGTCGTGGGCTTTTGTCCAGTTTTGGTTTCGATAGCTTTTGTGGGTGTGCTTGTGTTGCTGATATATGGGCTGTTTGGTCGTCTGTTGGAGCGAACTGAGGCTCAGCTGCGTGGTTGATGACGGATCCTTTGCTTCTCGCTGAGAATGGCTTGTTGAATGTCTCATGCATGATTCGAGTGCGTGGATCGGTTGGGTCTGGTTGTTGTGTTTCTCGATCTGTATATGTGGTTTAATTCTCTGGTTTGCTTTAGTCCTGGGTTTCTTATCTTATGGTGGCTTGCCTTGGCTGGAGTTTTGGGAAGTTTCCAACTTTTGGAAGGTTGGCTGTGTGATGTGTTTTGATTTCTGCTCAGGAACTTCGATCTTTTCTTTCGTAAGACGGGGTCTGCGTCAAAAGCTTCTCGTTTTCGTTTGATGATATGGGATGGTTACTAGAAAGTGGTATGGATATTACTGGAATTAATTGTGGGCATGAGACAAATCTGGCTTGTTCTTCCCTTCCTTCTCGTGATGCCCTGAGTTGTGGCAAATTGCAATGTCATAGACACCCAATCCATCGTCCCAAATATTAGTTGTCGAAACCAACAATATGCAAACGCTTGGATGCCTGCTTCATTTGTGGAAATGGAGGCTCTGCATGATTTACAGTGATCTAGATGGGATGAAATCCTGAGATGCTTGTTTTCAAATGCTTGCTGGTTTTGAGGTTTAAAAGTTTTGGTGTTGCTTATTGTTGTTTGCATTTGTGAAGATGGAATGGCAGTAGCCTGAAGCTGCAAGACAAGGAAAATGATTTCTTGAAGCTTGAATTGTTTGACTTATGGTTCTAGATTTATTGAAAGGAAAAAAAAAACAGAGAAATCGATTTATAAAAA